CCCAATTGGTGAATTAGAGGTGGCATGGGTTGCAGTGTAGGTGCAGGCTAGGTGGCATCCTTGGGGAAGGCATCTTTGCATGCATGTAATACGATTGGACATGTAAGAAGGCGCCATTTGACTTGGCGAATGAGTATAAAATTGAAAGGTGTCATTATCCCAGTTGGTGAATTAGAGGTGGCATGTGTTGCAGTGTAGGTGCAGGCTAGGTGGCAGCCTTGGGAAAGACATCTTTGCATGCATGTAATACAATTGGACATGTAGGGAGGCGCCTTTTGACTTGGAGAATGAGTACAAAATTGAAAGGTTTCGCCATCCCAGTTGGCGAATTAGAGGTGGCATGGGTTGCAGTGTAGGTGCAGGCTAGGTGACAGCCTTGGAAAGGCATCTCTGCATACACGTAATACGATTGGACATGTAGGGAGGCAAATTAGAGGTTGCTTACTATTGTTTTATTTAAATTCAGTACAACCTATTTAATCCTACATTTATCAAAACACTTCTACACTCAATCACTCAAACACTCGAACATTCAAAAATTCAAACAATCAACTCAAAGACTCAAACACTTAAACCTTCAAACCTTCAAACCTTCAAACATTCAAATATAATGGCGTCTGCACCATAATATGTGATCAGTGCACATTTTAACAGTGAGACATACATTTGTCCCACCTCTGGGTTTTTGTTTAGAGACACTGAGAACATCTGATTTTGTTTAAACAGGAAATCCAATTTCTTATATTTCAAAAAATAATTGGAGGTCAAACTTGGACGAGGTCCCGTGACAAATCTTTTATCAAAATCCAGTTTTTTTGTGACAACTAAATAATATTTTATAAGGTTGAGGTTCAAGATGATGAGGACCTTCAGAATATGTTTTCCAGTCATAAGTATTCTGGGTACGACTCTATTGAGTTGTACATTGTGTTGTGAGAGCCTCAGCTATCACAAGTGGTTAATCCTCTCGAGGCCGAACAAGCAGAAGTAGATGTCGTTAGCGAAGAAGAAGAAGATGACGAGTTAGAGTTTGATGACATGGTCAACGATGATTCTGAAGACGATGGGATACCTGGTATACCTCCGAATGAGATCTACACACCACCTCCACACATGACAAACTTTAACATGGGCGAAGATGAACCGTCGTCTGATTTATTTTTCAATCCATATATGCAGTCGGATGAAAACTTAAAAGAGAAAGACAAATTTCTTAATAGAGAAGATTGTATCCGAGCCATAAAAAAGTTTCACATGCTAAACTCGGTTGATTTTAAGGTAGATCGTGTAAATCCAGAAAGGTACAAGCTCAGGTGTGTCCACCCATATTGTATGTTCAAGCTCATTGCATCATACAAATTAAGAGGTAATTGTTAGGTCATAGGTTCTATGTCCACCCACACGTGCGTCAATTCTACTCAATCACAGGATTATCGGAAACTAAATTATGATCTCATATGTCAAGAAATCCTATCTCTCGTCAGCAATGATCCATCATTGAAGGTGAAAACCATAATCACTCACATAACTACGGTATATAACTATACTCCGTCATACCGAAAGGCGTGGTTAGCAAAGACCAAGGTGAATGCAAAGGTATATGGAAACTGGGAGGAGTCATACAAAGAACTTCCCCTCTACCTGCATGCACTTCAGACTTATTCTCTGGGTATTGTTTATATTATGGAAACACTACCGGCGTACGCCCCAGATGGTACTCATGTCACCGGAAATGGAATATTCAGTCGAGTGTTATGGGCTTTTCAACCTTGCATCACAGGGTTTGCGTCATGCAAGCCTATTATTCAAATTGATGGGACTTGGTTGTATGGGAAATACAAAGACACACTACTGATGGTAATTGCACAAGATGGCAACAACAATATTTTCCCAATTGCCTTTGCTCTAGTCGAGGGAGAGACTGGTGGTGCTTGGAGTTTCGTTCTCAAGAATCTTTGAACACACGTGGCTCCTCAACCAGGTCTTTGTTTGATCTCCGATAGACATGAATCTATTGAGAGTGCATACAACAATCCTGCAAACGGTTGGCATGACCCTCCTTCTACGCACGTCTATTGCATTAGACATATCGTACAAAATTTCACGAGAGAGATCAAAGACAAGGCTCTTAGGAAAGCGGTTATGAACGTGGGGTATGCATTAACATAACCTACGTTCAAACACTATCACAACGAGACCAGATTGTCAAATTCGGACGCAGGTAGGTGGATCGATAATATTCCGATGGAGAAATGGACCAGGTCATACGACAATGGACAACGATGGGGCCACATGACAAAAAATCTTATTGAATCCATGAACAGTGTATTCAAAGGCATACGAAACCTCCCAATAACTGCTTTGGCTAAATCAACATATTTTAAGATGGCTTCGTTGTTTTCCAAAAGAGGTGAAATGTGGAATGTTGTCTTGCAATCGGGACAACTATGGAGTGAAAGTTGCATGAAGTATATTAAGGCAGAAAGTGCCAAAGCCAACACCCATCTGGTTATACATTTCGACCGACACAGCCACAACTTCATTGTCAAAGAGACAATCGACCACAACGAGGGGCTGCCAAGACAAGAGTATAGGGTTATACTACCATCTCATTGGTGCGATTGTGGCAAGTTTCAATCCTTTTGTATGCCTTGATCTCGTGTCATTGCGGAATGTGCGTATACTCATTAAGACGCATTACAACTTCTATCTCTCATTTACAAGTTTGAAACCTTGCTCAACGTATACAACAACAGCTTCCCATTGGTAGCGAAACTTGATTATTGATCTGCATACGACGGAGAAATTGTATGGCACAACGACCAAATGAGAAGGAATAAAAAATGTCGTCCCAAAAGCAAGCGTATCACAACTGAAATGGACTCCCTTGACAAGCTAGAAAGAAAGTGTGGTTTATGTCGTTAGGTCAGACACAATCCCAGAAATTGTCCGACTCGGGCTACTAGCTCAACAACATAAAAATTGTATGCAAATCATCTTTACTTTTTTACGTTCTAAACATTACGGTTTTTCATTAAGAGTATTTGTTACAACAAACCTTACGCAAACAACAAATAAAAACACGATAAAACGTCTAAGAAATTACAACCGTCAAAATAATTTCATCTGACCCATGCATCATCAACATTACGTCTCCGTCTGTTTTGACTTCCTTCAACCAAAAATTAGGTATTCCTGTTGCAAGTGAGGTGGCTGTTCTTCTTCGCTAGATCCTTCTAATTTGTTCTCCATCCTCGATGTCTCCCTCTAGCCATCGCATCAACTCTCTCTTCAGATGCTCCATGGAGTGAATGTGCCAAAATTTCATTTTCATTGATTTGGTGGCCGAGAAAATAATGTAATCATCTCTGGTGAAAATCATGGGAGATGTCATGACGCAAATGACAGAGAAAATAAGAAGACAGTGCGAGAAAGTGTGAAGAATGAAGGAGAAACGTGAGATTTATTTATAGAAAATAGCATTTTACCCTAGGCGCCAAGTGAGATGGCGCCTCCTCTCACATTTAAAGTGCATGCGCCATCTCACTTGGCTAAAAGTGAGAGCATGCGCCAAGTGAGATGGCGCCTAGGGCAAAAGGGCAAGTATAGACGCCAACTGGGTTGGCTCCTCCTTTGTGGGATTTTCTGAAATATGATTATTTGCGTAATTTTCTCCGAAACATGGTTATTTGCGAGAAAAAAATTTCAAAACCCAATTATTACAAAATAAAAATTCACATAGTCAAATAGAATAGGATTATGTCTAATTAAAATGTGGAGATCGAGAGAGAGCAGTTCTAATCTTCACCATTAAAATTTTCTCTCTTCTTTTTTATTATGTTTTTATTAAAATTTCATCTCTTCTTTTTTATTATGTTTTTATGTAGTTAAGATTTGACTGGATGGAATTTATCATGATAAATTTACAAAACTCACACTGCTGATGTGTATTTTTTGTCCAAAAATATAAGAGAAAAAAATTTATTTTTCTTACTTCAAAATATAAGAGAAAAAATCATCTTTCATCTTTTAAAAAAAAATTTAAATACAAATCGCATTTAATTTACTTTCTCATTATTTTTATAATCAACAATTAATTAAAATTATTTTTATATCTTTCTAAATATTTTATTTCAAAAAAAATAAAAATCAAATTATTATATTTTTAATTTTTTTAATAAGTGATTTTTTTTTCTCTTATATTTTAAGAGGGATGGAGTATTTAAAAACATAGCCGCAGAACCAACTATGAGGCTATAAATATATATCATAATAAATTATCAAACAAAATTAATATTCTTACATTACATTTATAAACTATACCGTATTTTACTATTTCACTGATCACTAATATGATAAACAATCAAAATAAAAATTTAAAAAAATTATTATTTTTTAAAATAAAAGATACCAATATAAAGTTATATAATTAATCAACTTCATAGAATATTTTATATTTTATTAACAAACTTTATTTTACTATTAAAAATTATTTTTAATATCTGAATGTTTATAAACCAACTCCGTTACTTTATTAAACTTTTTTTTTTTTTACTTTTCATTAAACAATTTTGTTCTACCATTAAAAATTATTTTTAATATTTGATTTATTAACTAAGTTTATCACTTCATTAACCAATTTTTACATTTCACTAACCAATATTATTTTAATACTAAAATTAATTAGCCATTTATCATTGTTCATGATCATTGCTCATGTTAGTGTTCATGATTCTATTCATGTTGTCACTGTTCCCCGTATTTGTAAGTGTGTATTTGTAAACCGTGAATATGGTGTAGGTGTAAGGGATGATATATGAATAGCAATGCTGTAACCAAATTATGCAAATATCACGACATTATGAAGGTCTTGAAAAAAAATTCTTGTGAAACTTGTGAATATAATACACTCATTTATGTTAAAGAATTGATTGAACAAGATTGCATGCCTATAGTATAACAATGATATCTACCTTTGAGTAATTACATTCAAAAAAATATTAGTATCTAGGAAGAAGTTTTGCACTAGTTGTTCTGCTATCTGAATATGTAAGGGGAACTGTTGAGAATTCTGAACCAATTTGTTCAGAATGCTGAAAATATCCATGAGAGAGAGGACTGCTGTTCTGATTAGTAGGTGAACTGATTGGTGCATTTCCAGTACTAAACCTCTGATTTGAAGGCGGTGAAGAAGCAGAATTAGTATTTGAAGGTGGTTCACCTGTGCTTCCAGACATCTCCCTCTTTTCTCTTTCTTCTGTTTCTTTGAGAAGGAAATCAACCCACATATCTGCAAAGGACTGAAGGGGGAAAATACTTGTTCAAATCTGAATTTATGATTGTAAACTAGAAAAACGAGGATTATGTAAAGATTTTTCTGCTAGATGTGTCATCATACACACAATCGAGGAATATGTTCCGAGTTGAGAAACAACCAATTTTCAGCATACAATAAACAACTTCAAACCTTTTCCCCCTTCTCCCCAAATAAAGGGGTGAAATAGAAGGAAGAGAAGCCACAACCTTACTTTCTAAGTGAAGTACAACAAAGGGCAAAACATACTAATAGCAGAGAAGAAGAAATTACCTGGTTATCAGATCCCACATTTACAGCTGATTCAGATGAACTTCCTCCTAAAATACCTCCAACAAGGCGGCCAGGCAACCCAAGAACACCACGGACAACACCTTTTCCTGGACCTTGTTGAGCAAGGCCTATCCTTTGCTTGTCCTCGTTAGAGAACCCCAGCATGCGAACCATTAGATCCAAAACCTATCCCAATATCAAAAACTCCATGAAATAATCATTTGAACAATATAAGCACACTAATCAAGTAAAAGAACACAGCACTGGGAGGAAAAGTTGAGGGAAGGAAAGGGTTTCAGTCCTGAAAACTGCATACAAAGTAACTACTACAATTGGAACACTTAATACCTCTTTGCTGTGGTTTCTCTGGAAATAAGTTATAAGGAGTTTGATCACAATGCGCCTGTCAAAATACAATTAAAACCAGTAAATAACGTATTCTCACAAACGGAAACATTACAAGAAAAAAAAGTTCCTAGCTTATTTTTTATTTTTTTGTAAATACAGCTTTCTCTTATAGACTGGGTGGGGCTACATTGGTCAAATGATATCATAATAGGCTACCTGTCAACAAGAAAATCAGAATCCACTGACATTCTATTTAGCCGTGTCATACTCTGCTCAAGAGCTCGTCTCAATTTTGCATTTTCTTCCTCAATCTTGCTTAGTCTACTTCTCCATTCTGACTGTACCTTCTCAGAATGAGAGAGCTTGGCTAAAATTTCTTCTTTTTCACCCCTCAATATATCTGCTCTAGAATCTGCATCCTGGCATTAGCATATCCATTTAAAATAATATGCTACTTAATTTTAAACACCAACAAGTTGGCTTAATATCCTTTTGAGTTGCAAGAACGATATACAATGTCAATATACTAAACAAAATTATCAGGAATGATGGAGGATAATACAAGATGTGTTACATTTTAAGCATAAGGATAACGTAAGTTTAAAACATAGAGTACAACATGATACAAAAACTCAAATACTTATGTTACAATCAGCAAAGATCCAATTGTTGTCCAATTCAAATTTTCAACAATGCACAAGTTGAATGCATATTAATTTAGCAAAAGTGAGATAGATTCATACTTTCAACAGTTGAGAAAGACTAGCTGTTTCTTCCCTTGCACGAGCCAACTCTCCTTCTAAATGTTCCTTCAGGAAATAAAATAAACAGCAGATATAAGCTTACTCGGTGTATCAATAAGCAGACAGACACATGCGAAGATATTGACAGAAAAATATAAAAGGTGATTGGGAATATTAAGGTGTGTTAACAACTCAATTTATGGCATCAAAGTTGTAATAATAAAAAATTTCTAAACAACCTTAGCTTCAATTTCAGCATAATACTGTCCAAGAGCTGTCTGCAAATTTATCAGTTCAGTATTTTTGGCATCTATTGTGCTTATACAGTTTGTAAGCTTTTTGTTCAAGTCATCAATGACTTCTCTCGACTTCAGAACTTCACTGCTGTTTGCCATCTTCAGTTTCTCCTGATCTGAAGTAGCTTGCTTCAGAACTTTCTCGAGATGAAATATTTGAGCCTTTAAGTAATTGTTACTATCCCGTAGCTCTTCAATGATTTTGGTATCCTCATCCATTTTTTCTGACTCTTCATTTTCCTAGAGGAATAGCACCAAGATGAAAATATTTAGTCTGATGCTGAAAGATTGACATGCTAAATTCATGTTTGATCTAAGCAATCGTAGTTCATGTACACTCATTATAAAATTATGGAGACAACAATTAACTATATAATGGGGGAGAAACAAAAACTTATGAGATATGGGGGGGAAACAAAACCTTATGAGATATGGGGGGGAAACAAAAACGTATGAGATGTGGGGGGGAACAAAAACTTATGTGATACGGGGGGGAAACAAAAACTTACGAGATGAAAACCATAAAAAGGTAAAGATGAGTGGGTACATTTTCTCTTCTTGAATATCACATTCATTCATCATTAATCTTGCTTCAACAGATAAATGTAATAATTAAAAAATGAAACCTTCTCTAACAAATGTTGTTTAAGGCGGGTCAATCCTTGTAATGCTTTGTCCCTCTCCTGTTGTGTTTTCTTCAACTCATTACTCATCTTCTGTAAGGATATCTCCATGTCTTCTTTTCCAGGGAAACTTTTGGAGGGATCTGACAACTGTTACCAAAAGCCAATTCACCAATCCCCATAAAAGAGAATAAAGACGGCCATTATTAGCATGGCACTTCACGGACAAATTGAAAAGTAAAATATTAATATGAAGTTTGAGCTCACATCACTGACAGTGCTTGAATCCTTATTCTGGATTTGAGAAGCATCGGGTGACTTCTTATCAGGGAAAGACACCCTACTTACTTTGAGAGCAGCCTCAAGGTCACTTTTTTCCATCTAATAACAACGTGAAGATAGGATAAATCAGAGTGCAGTCTAGAGCACAATATCAAAAACAACTATTTTCAAGTTTTGATTGATAAGATGGTAAACATTTTTGTACTACGGTGAAATAAAGTAATGCATTATCTACAAACCTTAAGAGTGGTGTTTTCCTTCTCTAAAGTTTCTATTAGTCGTTTAGAGCTATCCATAGCATTGCCTGCTTCTTCACCTTCCTGTCTAGTCAACTCCAATTGCAGACGTTTTATTTCTGATACTTTTTCATTCAACTCATTATGCAACTGCCTCACCTCATCTGTAGTCTTCAAACAGTAATGCATAAAGGGGTTAGATAGTTAAAAATTATAATACAGCTCATCAGGTTGCAAATAAATAAAACAAACCTGCATCATTATTCCTTAAAAAGATGTAATCTATTACTCAACGATGCAATTAAAGTTATGAAGGAAAAAAACAACCAAAAAAATGGTCAAGTTATTACATTCATTTACACACGTGTGCACGGATACGCGTGCACATACACACATATACTCATATAAAAAGTCCCTCTCATATACACAAAGAAATAGTGATATCAAGAGTTTGAAGCATTGGAAAAAGATATTGTGTTCTCTTGTACTTTCTAGTCCTATCATTCTCGTGAATCCATGCAAATATTCTTCAGTTCTCTCCAAATATATACTTTAAACTTCTTCCTTTATAAAACTGTTAATGGATTTTCTTCCATGTTTTTTTCTTAATTTAATATCAATTTGTGATATTTCATTCTCAACTCAGATTGCTATCTCAATTCATAATACCAAGGCAGCCTATGTTCTCTAGATTGAAAGATAAGCCAGTTTTCCTTATAGGGATCCAGAGGGAAAGCTGGGTGGGCAGAATTAATCGTGCTATTAACTCATATTTTGATAATTTGATACTAAATCTCATTACCATGGCCATCAAATGTTATGTACATATATTCCTACACCAGATAACTTCCTGAAAAGAATTGATTTTGATGTTTGCTTTATAACATTGTGTATTGTTTGTTATATACAACTTGATGGAAATAAGACGGCCATAAAAGTAGTAAATGTTAAAATACAAATAAATTACAAGTAGATATCCTAGACTAGACTACAGAACACAATAAAACATGACATTCATTTCACAGTACATCTGTTTATCAAGTCTTTATGTCAATAGTGTGTTGTAAAATAAAGGTGTTGGAGCCGTGAACATCAAATTTACACCTATGCTTATATGAACTTACTTTGTCTCTTTCCAATTTTAATAATTTAAGCTCCTCTTGGAAAGACTGGTTCAATTTCTGTTCCTCTGGCAGTGGAGAAAGAATTAGATTTATTATCGGTTTCTATTTGAATATACAAATGGTGACTCAATCAAGATAATCCAAATGCAGAAAAATACCGTGGAATTGTAGCTGAATGTTTGCCAATTTATCTCGTTCTTGCTCCAGTTCCAACTTCAACTTTTGTATCTCATGAGGATGCAGTACTTGTGTTGCTACTCTGGGGCTATTTTTTCCTTCTACCGAATCTGCTAGCTCCTAGAAGGCATTCATACATCTGTTGTCAAGTTCACTCATCACTAAAAATAAAAATATATATCCTATTAAGAAGTCTAAAAATCAAAAATGACCAGACAAAAAAAAAAAGTTTTCAAATTATAGAAATAGAGAAGTCAAGTTAAGATATATGTTCATTTTCTATAGAAGGTGCACTACATGCTAAGGACTAAATGAAAGTGAACATGGACATGGGATAGAATAACAAAAAGTTCTTGATCAAAATCAAACTAGGCTGATGAATAACAAAAAGAAAAACTAAGTTGTCATGAATGCCTCGTAATGGTCAATATGTTGGTTCATAACTAATGAATAGCCAAAAACACTAAATTGTCAATACCTTGTCCTTTCCTTGTAAGTCTGAATGGTCAGATACCATCTTACTCGGAATTGCATTGGATTCCAAAGTAGACATGGTTCCGTTGTTTGTAGCATAACGGTTTTTCGTTTGAGTTGCAAACCTATGTTGTCGACTAGATGACTGGTCACTGCTTCCCTGCACAAATATATACAACTGTGGTTTCTCTCTTTTTTATAAAGTTTGAGACAACAATAAAAACAGGTCTTTTCTGTTTCTAATCATCCCTAGTTTATAAAGACATGGTTCAACTAGCCAGAAGAATTCATATTTCTAATTATTTACATCGATTCAACATTGGGGTCAAATAATACTTTAAAGAAAACAATTGGCTTTGCTGTAACTAGAAGCCACTACAATAATTCTATGTCATAGATTGATAAGGGTAAACCTCTAAACGAAGACTTTTCTATGTCATAGATTGATAAGGGTAAACCTCTAAACGAAGACTTAAGCTTTACAATCAAATGCATCATCCCGTAAGAGAATAAATTGCACGCTATAAAAAATACTTCATTGCTTTTCGACCCTAAAACTAAGGAAATAACTGTAATTAAAGTGAAGCAAAGAAACTGGTCAAGCCCACTGCCCATTAAAAATAAAATTAAAAAAAAGTTCTGTTCCAAACCAGTTAATCAATACCAAAAATAAATTACTTCTAGTATATTAACTTTGTAAACAAATAATCAAATAAAGCCAAATATTGTATTGACAAGAGATGGTTTTAATGTGGTTCCTGGGTATTATATATAATGAGAGGTATGTACTAGGTATGAAGCACTCAAATTAATTATCTCTAGAATAATTGTAGTAAAGTATGGTCAACCAGTGTCAACAAGACTTGACATTAATAACTGACAGTTTACAAGGAAGTTGATTTTTATTTTCCTATCAAAGTTTAAAGTAGGGCCTAACTCAATTCCAAAAGATAGTTTATGGGGTGAGGATCCCCCTCCTTCGCTGTTCAGTCATATAATTATCCAATCTAAACTCTTAACAAGCCCCTTACACTTCTGGTATTGGACAACTGGAGCAGGAAGTTTGCACAGCTGGACATTTGCGGGTGGACAAAATGATATAGGATGGGATTTGATACCATACTATAATGTGGGTTTGGGCCTAACTCTACTTGTAAAGCTAGCTCATGGGATGAGGGTTTCCTCCACTTGTAATTATTGTTCACTATTCAAGCCATATCACTATCTAATCTGTGGCTCTCAATGTTTCCAATCAAAAAATGTGAAGCATAAGTTTTGAAAATCCATTTTCGCACTATAATATAACGTGTATGGCACACTCTTGGCATCACGAATTAAATTTCATACCAAAACTATTAACTACAAGATATAAAATGATGAAGGATGTAAAAGCATGTGTTAAATTTATGGAATACACCATTAATTTAGCCCCTAAACTACCATTCCTTTTAATTTAGTACCTAAACTATATGAGTATAATAAGTAGTTCATAAAGATATGAAGTCCGTCAATTTGGTCACTAAATTATATAAAAACCCATCAATTTAGTCCCTAGCACCTTCACAGCAGGGCCTAAATTGACAGGTTTTATACTCTTTAGGGACAGCTTATTATATTTACCTAGTTTAGGGACTAAATTGGAGAGTGAATTCAGTTTAGGGACTAAATTGATAGTTTATTCAAAACTAATGTAGCAAAACACAAACATTAAATTCTTCAAAATAAAGTT